CCACTGAGCTACATCTCCAGACCTTTTTCTTTTTTATTTTGTGACAAGCTGCCTCAAACTTGTGATCCTTCTGCCCCAGTCTCCTGAGTTGCTGGATTACAAGTGTGGACCACTGCACCTGGCAAAAGTCATTTATTCCTACAGATGGGCTAGCAGAGGGAAAGCCAGATAATTCAAACATTATTTTCTTTTGGGAATAGATTTGCTTTCCTTATTATTCTTTTGTTAGACTCTTAAAATGAATTTGCAATAAACATGTCCAAGATAAACTGACAAATAAATAAAGCTGAAAAAAATCTGGAGAAACATACTAAACTATAGGTACAATAATAAATTTAATTTTTTATAATATCATGTATTACTTTGTGAAATGGACAAAACAACTTATTTTAATGACATTTAAACTCTATTATTAGGAAGGGACCAGAGACGTGTAACTCTGTGGCCTCCTTTCCCCTCAGTTTAGTTCTCCTAAATTAAGAACTTCCACTTATAGCTACCTGAATACAGTATGCTGTTTTAAGCCTCTGCACACTCATGTTCTTTCAGCCTTGAATGCAACTGTTTACAACTCAACTTTGTCAGAATCTCCATTCATCCTACAAAACCCTATTCAGGTGTTCATACCTACTAAAGCCCCTCTGTAATAAAGCCTTTCTCTCAACCATTAAGAGAACTTATCTCTTTTCTTGGACATTTAATAGGAATTTAGACTTACAGAGCTCTTACCATATACTAGCATAGTGCTTAGGATTTTTATCTTTTTTTAATTGAATCTTCAATAATACCTACAAGAAAGGTACTCTTGGCATCTTCTTTTACAGATAAGAAAACTAAGGCTCAGATTCTGATTAGGAAGCAGCAGACCTAAGACCTGATCCCAGATCTATTTGATTCCAGAGCCTGAGTCTTGAACCACTACTCTGTCCTGTCCCTTGCCCTAAATCCAAACCCACAAAGCAAACAACCTGGTCTCCACAACAGTTCTAGTTCAATGAAACCAAGGATGATTTCTCATTCTCCTTGGATTCTGCCTAGCACAATAATTGGCTTTCAGTATATATGTTTGCTGATCTGAATTAATAACTATGATAATCCTAACACAATAAATGAGAACTGGCCATATAGAAATTCATTCTTCCAAATACTGTTCATTTTAAATATTGGAAGCATTTCAAACAATGGACCACCAAATACCATCTGGCCAGCCTGACTACAGTGCACCAGAGTAAGCCAAGGTCACCAGCAACAAGTACATATGTACCATATAAATTCTTTTCACCACAGTCAACAAAGTCAGAGATAGCTCAGCTATGTTATCCTGCCATATCTTACAGAGATTATTTCAGTTGATTTTTTTCTTTTTTCTCTTTTTTTTGGTGCTAGAGATTGAACTCAGAACCTTGTGCATGTAAGGCAAGCACTCTACCAACTGAGCTATGTCCCCAGCCCCTCAGAGAATGTTTCAGAACACCAGAGAGTTCTTCAGGATTTGGGGATGTCCCGCAAGTACTATTTAGGTGATTTTAAAAATAAGTTACCCAAAAGTTACGGTAAAAAATAAAAATAAAAAATTAAGGAGGCTGGGGTTGTAGCTCAGTGGTACAGCAATTGCCTTGCACACATGGGGCACTGGGTTTGATCCTCAGCACCACATAAAATAATTAAGTGAAACAAAGGTATTGTGTCCATGTTCAACTAAAAACAAAAATTAAAAAGTGGATATAAAATGTGATTGGTGGAGCTCAAGGTGTGGCTCAGAGGTAGAGAATTTGTCTAGCATGTGTGAGGCCCTGAGTTAGAGTCCTGGGACAGGGAAGGTGTGGGGAGTGATACGCAGCCAATCAAAAATCCTCAAAAAAATACTTCTGCACTTAAAACACCCTAGGCTTTTTTCACCTCTCTTTGAATGGTGGCCCCATGTGTAAGGTCAGACTCAAGTGAAAACTCCCCTAGAGCAGAGGGCATATGCACTGAATTACTGAATTACTTTGTACTAATTAGAGTACCAGGCATGTGCCTGACACAGGAGGTACTCTATAACCCTAAATTTTGGCCTCAAAATCTTTAAAACCTTCCCTCCAGAAGGACAGAGTTGCAAATCCTTGGTCTTGTATTCAAGGCCCATTTACCTTCCCAAATTCTCAAGATCTTATATCCCCATACCTTGTCACCCCTTGCTCTTCATACCCATTATTTGGGACCCAGTTCAATCTCTCCTTTGGCAAGAAAGACTACCTAGACAACTCCAAATCTTGTAACCTTTCATTACTCTTAAGACCTGTAACTTTCTAAGACAATGGAAATGTTCTAGATCTGTACTATATGTTCTTTTGTATATAATAGCTACCTGTTAGACAGCACAGGCGTAATGCCTCAATATCTCTTTGGTAACACCAACCTGCTGCATTCTATGGTTAAAATATTCATCAAATCACCCCAGTAGACTGAAAATTATGTACACAAGACACATCTTATTTTTCATAGCAACTCTCATGAAATTGACAAAAGTAAATATTTGCTTATGTACATGCCAGTTTATCAGAAAATATCAGCAAAAAGGTGCTGGACTCAGGCATCTACAGTGATGTTCACCACTTCTGCCCCATCTGAATGTCATGACACACACAGACAGGAAGGAAAAAGCAACTTTCTGAAGACACAAATGACCACTGATCAAGCCACAGGTACTCTAGTTGAAATGACATTTAGGTCATAATTTCCCTTTACCTAAAACTTGCCTAAACATCTCCATTAGCAAGTAGCTAAATTCTGATGGCAAATTATGCTGACAAAAAATTTAATTTCTTCCCAAGTTAGAAGCAGAAGTTACACAGTAAAATGACCTAAGCCAGTCCTATTTGTACAACCTTTTTTCACCTTTTTATTGAGCATATATCTCCCTTGGAGTCCTTCAGCCTACTGGTGGGATCTCACTGTGCAGACACATGTAAGAAATTCATTGACACTTTTCCCAGTAGGGCCTATACTGGCTCTAAATTAAGACCCAATATTTAAGTATCAACAGTCAATAGAACATAAGATATATAGAAGGCACAAGTTTCAGCACTATGGTACTATTACCTTGGGCAAGTGTCTTGTCCCTTTGGCCTCAATTTCCTTATCTTCAAAAAGGAATTAATATTAGGTGAACTACCTACCTCACAAATCCTTTATGAGTAAGTCATAACCATGGTTATTCTTCCCAAATGAACTACATAGATAGATAGAAAGATAGATAGATAAAAGATTCATGAATTTGCTAATGGTTCTTTGTGGAGTATATGCTAACAAATGGACTAAGATCAACACTCCAACATTTTTTTCCCCAAATTTCTTCATCCCATCCCACTATGCAAATGTCTGAGCAAAAATTCAACAAATACTTCAGTCTGGCACATATAATAAGGAAACAAACATGTTGACTCAGAGAACACAGACATATTTAATATAAAATATAACAGAAAAGTGACTGAATCAAGTCATACCACAGTCTAACTCCGCATGTAAAACTGTGAGATTTACTGCTTTTTTTCAAACCAATGCTTCATCAGAACAGCCAGCTAAAAATTCACAACCCATACACAGAATAAATAAACCATTTAGATATTTAAAAAACAGCAGGTACACATTATCTACATGTTTAACAAGAAAAAAAAAAAAAAAAAAAAGACTGTATTCCAACTACTTGGGAGGGTGAGGCAAAAAGATCCCAAGTTCAGGGACAGCCTGGGCAACTTAGCAAAACCATGTCTCAAAATAAAATAAATGGATGGGGATGTAGCCCAGTGGTAGAGTGCTTGCCTAACATGTGAAGGCCAGGGTTCAATCCCAATACCATTAAAAATAAAGTTAAATTTTTAAAAAAGTTAAAAAAAAAAAAGACTAACCACTGGTTTCGCCAACACCACACACTTAATATTACAGAGTGATATGTACTAAATGTGAAAAAAGCAACTTGGGTGAGAGTTTGAATTTTGCTAATTTAAGTGCAACCACACCCCTCAACAGGTAAAGTTGGCACACCGGGCTTGGCCAAGGCCAGCCTGTCTTTGTTTCCCTCTATTCTGCATTTACCCAAGATCTTGGCTCTGAGACAGAAAACTCCCACTCTTGATTGGTTCATTCTGTCCCATGCAATTAAGCAACACCACAATCCAGTAAACGCAATGGCTCAATTATTTATCTTCTAGTCGAGTTTACCTGGTGTTTATAAAAGAACAATGTCAAGGAGGAAAGAGGTTTATTGCTCTCTAGAGCGGACCTGACCGGGGATTTGTCTTTTTTTATTTTATTTTTACAAGGTGGGGAGATGCATGGCTTAACCTAGAAAAAGATGGGGATGGGGAAGAATTTATAGAGTACAAGTCTTTCAGTTTCCCTACAAGAAACTTGATTCGTATTCAATAATCCTACCCCAAACCAGCCCGTAAGGCTATAGGGGTATACCTATTCCCACCTCCAGAGGGGCACAGCTGGCTTCCGAAAGAGCAGGAGCAGGGCAAGGCGGAGGAAGCGCTGAGCCGGCGAGGCAGGGAAGAGGCTCTTTCCAACACGCGCCCCCGCCCACACACACACCACCAGTGATCTCGGCCGGCGTGACAGTCGCTCCCGTGCCCCGAACGTCCCCAAAGCCCCAGGGAGCAGGAAGTCCGGGGGCTGTCGCTCTCTCCATCCACCCCAACACTAGTATGCCCTCGCTCCATGATTCTGCCCCCTCGAGTTCATTCCCAGTCTTCCTCCGCTTATCCCCTTTCCCCCAAGACCGAAACTTCCTTCCAGTGCCCCCTTCTCTTCCGAGACCGCTCCTGTCATCCCAGGGAGTTGTCCCTTCAGGGAGACCCTCCGTGTCTTCTCATATCCCGCCAGCTCCACTGAAGCGTTCATTCGCAACTACCGCCCAAAACACTCCCGAAGGCTCGCAGCCCCTGCGGCGCCCCCCACGGTCCCCCGGCCGGCCGGCCGTCGGGGGACGCGGCCCCACCCTTCGCCCCCTTCACCTGTTTCTCCAGCTGTGAGGCCCGACAGGCCGGGGCTGAGCTTGCGTCGGGTGCGGGTGGCCGGGCTCCCTCGGGCCGCCGGGCCTCTCCTAGGCGACGCAGAGGGGCAAAGCCGAGCTGGGGTGCTCGTCAAGGATCCGGTTGGGGCTCCTTCCCTCCGCTGCGACGTCGGAACCCCCAAGCTCCCCCTCCCCGTCTACACCGCCGCAGCTCCGGAAACCGCTGAATTACAGACTCTCCAGCCAATCCCCACCCAGCCCCTGCCTAGCCAAGACACGCCTCATGCATAATTCATGAGAGGGCCAGCTTGCTCGGCCACCCAGAGGCCCCAGAGCATGGCTGTACATCCGAAACCCCACCCACAAACCAATAAAAAGAGCCTCTAAGAGAAAGGGCGGAGTCAAAAGAAGACTGGGTACGCCCCTGTGTTGGCTGTTCCAAGGGCTTAGTGCTCCTCCCTCCGTAATAACCAGGGAAGAACCCAAGCCCTGGGCACCGAATCACGGGGGGAGGGTGGGGAAATGACCGGAATGTCCTGCTGAAAACTCAGCTGAGTTCCTGGCAGTGCGTGACGTCAAGACACTTTAAATGCCCTGATACGGCTCCCTGCTGCCCGCTTTCCCTTTTCCCGGCCCTTGGCACCACGTGGGGAGAGGTTAAGAGCTTCTTACCACGTGGGAATCAGCCAGTTCAGACTCCCAGTTAGCACCGGATCCTCCGGGGGCCCAACTCCTGAACTAGGTGTCTGAGGACAACAAAAAGAACATGGGCGACTCCTGCCTGCTTTGAACTTTGGTTTCTGCGTGAGTCGGGCACACACACCCGGAAATATGACGCCAAAATAGAGTAATTACTAGATTGCGTGGGGAGAAGATAGTGGATATAACCCCGTCCTCGGTTCCATAGCTTCAAGTATCAAATGTCAACAGCTAAGTTATTAGCTGGTACACAGAAATGCAGATAGTATATATATGAGGACTGACATGTATAAACAGTATTTGACATGTTTAGGCCTCTGAGTTACTGAAATCCTTTTTCTTTTCCACCGCGCCTACTTGATGTGCAAGTTTTACTGAATTGAAGCCAGTAGCTCATAGGAAATGTAGACATTTTGCTTACACAATAGGGGATGAACTTTGCATAACGGAATGATTTTTGTGTGCTGATACTATCATAGTTTTTAAAAACACCAGTTGTAATTGTGTTTGTTATATTCGTCTAACAGACATAAAGATAAAAATCTAGCTGACTGAGATGGCTATAATTCCAGCACCTAGGGAGTGAGGCAGGAAAATCCTAAATTCAAGGCCAGCCTCAGCAACTTAGTGAGGCCCTGTCTCAAAATTAAAAATGAGAGGTTGAGAATATACCTCAGTTGGTGCACTGCTTGCCTAGCATGCACAAGGCCCTGGGTTCAATCCCCAGCACTACCAAAAAAAGAGAGAGAGAGAGAGAGAGAAGGGCTGGGGAGTTGGGGATGCACCTTGGTGGTAGGACACCTCTGGATAGAATCTCCAGTACCAAAATAAAATTTAAAAAATTAAATCTAAAAAGGGTTCATTATCTTACTATAGCAATTTTTTTCAACAAAACTAATACATGTTCACGGTTTAAAAAAAAAAAAAAAAGTTCAAATAGGTTGAAAATGTTAAATGAAATCTTCCCCTCCTTTCTCCATCAGTCCTTCTCCCTAAAGATAGCTGTTCTTATTAATTTCTGGTGAGAAAATCAATGATTCTTAACCTTTGATGGGTCACAGACCCTTCTGAGAATCCAATGGAGACTGTGAATTCTAGCCTCAGAAATGTACAGCACAAACTGATAATGGTGATGCACTTCTGTAATCCCTAGCTACTTGGAAAGAATAGGCAGGAAGATGCAAATTACAGTCCATCCTGGTCAATTTAATGAGACCCTGGCTCAAAAATAAAATGAGCCCAGAGTGGTAGCACACACCTGTAATCCCAGAAGGCTGAGGCTGGACAATCACAAGTTTGAGGCCAGCTTCAGCAATTTAGGGAGGCCCTGTCTCAAAATTAAAAATAAAAAGGGCTGGGGACTTAGCTCAGTGGTAAAGTGCCCCTGAGTTCAATCCCCAAAACAAAAAATAAAATATGGGGGCTGGGGATGTGGCTCAAGCGGTAACGCGCTGCCTGGCATGTGCGGGGCGCTGGGTTTGATCCTCAGCACCACATAAAATAAAGATGTTGTGTCCACCGAAAACTGAAAAATAAATACTAAAAAAAAAAAAAAATTCTCTCCCCCCCTCCCCCCCTCTGTCTCTCCCTCTAAAAAAAATAAATAAATAAAAAATAAAAATAAAATATGCATGCTTGTAATCCCAGCAGCTTGGGAGGCTGAGACAGGAGGATCACAAGATCAAAACCAGCCTCAGCAATTTAGCAGGACTAAGAAACTTAGCAAGACACTATCTCAAAATAAAAAGAAAAAGGCTGGGGACGTGGCTCAGTGGTTGAGCACCCCTAAATTCAATCCCCAGGGCAAAAAAAAAAAGGAGAAGACAGGAGATGTGGCTCAGTGCTTTATCAGCATGTGTGAGGGGACCTAGGTTCAATCCTGAGTAGGGTGGAAAGAAAAGAAAGAAATATACAGCAGATCTTTTACTTACAGATCCACATGACTCTCTAGATACCCAAAACCTATCTGAATCTGGAAGATTCCCACTTCTTGTACCACCTCATATCCATTTGTATTTGTGTGTATATGTGTAGCTTGTGAATCAAGCCCAGGTCTTCACAGATGCTAAGCATGTGCTTTGCCACTGAGCTACATTCCCAGCCACCATCTCAGATCCAAGTAAGAGGCAAGAGCCTGGGCTGGGGATGTGGCTCAAGCGGTAGCGCGCTCGCCTGGCATGCGTGCGGCCCGGGTTCGACCCTCAGCACCACATACTAACAAAGATGTTGTGTCTGCCAGAAAAATAAAATAAATAAATATTTAAAAAAAATTCTCTTTCTCTCACTCTTTCTTAAAAAAAAAATCTCTCTCTTAAAAAAAAAAATAATGAAAGTTTAAAAAAAATTAAAAAAGAGGCAAGAGCCTCTATAGGGCAACTTGTAGGGTCACTGATGGTGAGCTTGAATCTCCCACTGCCTGGTAGAGCCTGACCAGTGTGAAAATTGCTGTATTTATTTATAGAGAGTGTTTGTACTGATCACTGTTTATCTTTATCTTCACTACAGGACAGATATCTCCTATAAGAGTAAACTTTCTTTTAGCTGTAGTATCCCAGGCAGTTGACTGCTCCCTGATAACATGGGGAATAGTATTTGTTTAGTGATTTACTGATGACAAACCACTGACATACTCATTGTCTCTTCTTTCTCACAACAATCATGTGTAGCAGATAGGAGAGGTCATATTATCCACTGAAAGAAAACGAAGGCCAGGGCTGGGGATGTGCTCAGTAGTTAAGGATCCCTGGGTTCAATCCCCAGAACAAGAAAAAAGAAAGAAAGAAAATAAGGCCAATGCCTGGTAATCCCAGTGAACTGTGAGGCTGAGGCAGGAGGATGTCAAGTTCAAGGCCAGTCTCAGCAATTTAGCAAGGCTCTAAACAGTTTAGACTGTTTAGAGACCTGTCTCAAAATAAAAAATTGTAAAAAGGGGTCTGGGATGTAGCTCAGTGGTAAAGCATCCCTGGGTTCAATCCCTAGTACCCAAAACAATACAACAACAACAAAAATATAAAGCCAAAATAATGTGGCACTCTCAAGACCACAGAGATGTTCAGAGCCAGGATTTTGGATTCCACAGCTCAGAGCTTTGTCCATCCACTCAAATCCTGCCTTCCTCCTCTGACTTCCCAGGAGCTGGCCTTCCTTTCCTTTACAATCCTCCCCACCATTCGCACATAACTACCCCTGAGCCTATCTCTTCAGCTTATGAAATTTTCTTCATCCCTGCCACTGTCCTTTATCCACAAACTTTTTTTTTTTTGGGGGGGGGGGCAGGAGGGTGGGTTCTAAGGATTTAACCCAGGGGCACTTTACTACTGATCTACATCCTCAGCTCTTTGTAGTTTTTATTTTGAGACAGGGTCTCCCTAAGTTGCTGAGGCTGGCCTTGAACTTGATATCCTTCTGTCTTAGGCTCCAGAGTTGCTGGGATTACAGGTGTGTACCACGGTGTCCAGCCCTCTTTCCACACTTCTGCCAATGCCCCCTTGGCTAAATGTTGTAGCTTCTCTCACTTGGGCCAGTGCTTTGGCCTCCTGACTATTTTCTCTCTTCATTCCATCACATCCTTCCCCTGGCTGCTGTGGTCATCATCCTAAAAATTAAATTTAAAACAAGTGAATATTCAATCATGTCACAGATTGCTTTCAAAGCTCTACTGCTAAACTGGGTATAGTCATACACACCTGTCATCCCAGCAACTCCAGAGGCTGAGGCAGGAGGCTTGAAAGTTTGAGATCAGCCTGAGCAACTTAGTGAGACCCCATCTCAAAATAAAATTTTAAAAGATTTTGGGGTATAGTTCAATGGTTGAGCACCTCTGGGTGAATTAAGTCCCCAGTACCACACACACACACACACACACACACACACACATACACACAAAAAAGAACTTTAGTGTTCCTTGATATCTGTAGGATAAAATCTAAGTTAAATTTAAAAATACTGCTGGGCACAGTGGCGCACCCCTGAAATCCCAGCAGCTTGGGAGGCTGAGACTAGAGGATTGTGAGTTCAAAGCCAGCCTCAGCAAAAAGCAAGAAGCTAAACAACTCAGTGAGACCCTGTCTCTAAAAAAATAGGGCTGGGGATGTGGCTCAGTAGTCGAGTGCCCTTGGGATCAAACACAAGGGCACTCGACTACCCATCTCCCACCAAAAAAAAAATGTTAGAGTCTGTAAACAAGTCAAAATAACACCTGGCATTTTGCCAGGGGAATGTTAGAGTTCCTAAACAAGTCTGGATGGTACCTGGCAAAATGCCAGAGGGAATGGTTTAAGAAGTAACAAAAGCGAGCCATTAAGTGTGGAGATTCCTTATTGGTTGACTGATGTATCTAGTTTATGCTAATTAGATAAGCTGTGTGGAATGTATAAATACTGCTCCTGTCCTGCAATAAATGGCTCCCACTCCTGCTGTATCAACGTACACAAGTTATTCGTCACCCCCCGGTTATTTTGCTGCAGCCGGACTGTGGCAAAAAAAAAAACTACTGACCATCCAATACAGTGATAGGCATAT